GAATTGATTGCAATGGCCTGCGAGATATGTTTACTATCAGTTTAGAGCAGATGAACTTGATATTTTATATTTTCTATGAGTTTTTCTCTCTCACAGTCGATGGAAGACGAGTAGCGTTTGTTTCGCTACAGATGATGGCAGATTTGAATTTAGTATCTTTTAGAGAAGACATTTGTTGGGTTGACCTGAAGGATGGCCTCCTTTAGCGTCTCTTCCTTTTAAAGGATGCCAATGGCTGCTACGAAAGGTGAACATGTGATCAACCCAGCTGTTCCTAGAATGCACGCATGGAAAAACTGATGACACACACACACACACACACACACACACACACACACATATATATATATATATATATATATATATATATATATATATATATATATATATGAATAAAAAATGACAATAGGAAAACTGGTAATTGCTGACGCGTTTCGTCCAATGTGGACTTTATCAAAGCAAAATACGAAAATGAAATTAAATGAACAAAGTAACTAATAAAAAAAAAAAACAGAATGTACCTAGCAACTGGAATGTAGAGAAACGCTATTTTCATATTTCTTAACTGAAAAATAACGTCAGAGATTGTCACGTGTGGTGAATATTGTCATTATATCTGTGTTGATGTATTCAACCATTTTCTTTCGATTTTATGAATTTGTTGTGCATATTTGTTTGTAAGAGTATTAATTTTGTTAAGAAAGGTGAAATAGGGAAAAAGCCTGGGCGTAAATTAATATTTGGGTAATTTTCTATGGCGGCACTCTCCAGAATTTTCCTTCTGAGTGAGTTATTTTCTTTTTTTATGAGTGTAGCATTTTTAAAATCAAAATTATTCATAAATATTGCCTTCTCTACCGATTAAATTTTCATATATATATATATATATATATATATATATATGGAGAAATAAAGTTTTAAGGTGTGCTGTATTTATGGGATAAAGTGCACAATATCAGAGACAGAGCGTATGTAAATATAAATATAAAAGTGAACATTGAAGTCAATACTCAGAGGCGACAGGCTGTTTCGTGCTGGACGCAATCGTATATATATATATATATATATGTGTGAGAGAGGAGAGTCATTTCTCGATCTACACAACGTATGATTAATGTAAGTGGAAGGCCCGAAAGCCACACACCCACTTGTTGGTGATTACCTAATTGAAGAGCTGAATAGAAAGTAATGATGCATATGAGAGATTTGGTCATGCGTTTACAATTGCAAACGACAAGTAATGTTACACTCTCATTTGGTTATTTGATTATGGGAATTGAAATATTGACCATGGAAATTAAAATGAAAACAACTTAATTCCATAGACAGAATAAAGGCCCCAGTTTAAAACATTAACCTGAAGAAGTCTGGAGATTAAAACAGTCGAAACGTAATGAGTATAGCCACCAAGATGAAAGTGATTCGAACAATAAGATATACAATAAAATAACCCATAATAAAATTCGTGTATATATATATATATATATATATATATATATATATGAGATGAGGTATTGTAACTATTTACATTGTTCGGTGTGCTGTTCTCATCTTTATTGTCATCTTCCGGTAATATACATTGAAATTTCCAACCGAATACTTTATAATGTCCACGGTGGCAGATTGTTCTAGTTCCACGTGTCATGCCTTTTCATGATATGTCAGTTTCAGTTAATTCTCTTTAGTAACTCAACTCTCCAAGTTTTTGTTTATCTCTGCTGTGGCCAGGTATTGAACTCACAACTCTTTGGTTCGAGTCACATTTTGGAATAGTTCAACTAACGCTTTTATCCGCTGGGTCATATGTCCTTGGAGAAATTCGAAATTCCAAATTAAATCACCTGAGCGTATAATGGCCGAAAAGTCGTGAATATGGCAATAAAGATATGGACAACTGTCTGAACGATGAAAATAGTGTAAATGAAAATTCATTCTGACTATTGTCCTCATCTTCGTCGCCATATTTATTACAACGTTTCGGCCGTTGTACGCTCCGATCTTCTCTAAGTTCTCCACTGCCTTAAACGGGTATTGAACTCAAACATTTGCCATCTGTCCTTGAGGACACATGGCGCAATGAATAAAGGCATTGCTTAGATCCAGTGGCAAGACCCAAAGAGTGTGAGTTCAATACCCGGTTAAGGCAGTGGAGAACTTGCAGAGGGGAATTAACAGGAGATAACTGATAATTGACATCCATTAAACATGGCACTTGGAACTAGAAAACCCTGACCGGAAATAAAGGTTGACCGAAAATAAAGGGCCGAAACGTTTCGACATTCCAACCACCTGATAATGTAAAAGGCCGACAAAAGCGTCTCAAAAACGGCCGAAACGTTAGTAATTCCATAGATAAAAATCGAAAAAATATGGCGACAAAGATGAGGACAATAGTCCGAATAATGTAGATAGTGTAGATAATACCTCATCTCAGAAATATAGACAAAATTCATTCTCTCAAAAATTTCGTCTCAAATTAGAGATTTATTTTTTTTATTTGCAGAATCCAGTAGTAATTCATTCTCTCAAAATTTTCGTCTCAAATGGATAAAACCGAAAAATATGGTCTCAAATTAGAGATTTATTTTTTTTATCAAATAAAAATCGAAAAACAGTAACAAAAAAGACAATAGAAAACCAAATAGTGTTGAATAAAGGAAACACAAACATTACCCAAAAATTTGTCTCAAATTAGAGATTTATTTTTTTTATTTGCAGAAAAGTAATTCCAGGATAAAAAATCGAAAAAATATGGCGATGACAAAGAGAGGAATCCGAATAGTAGAGAGAGAGAAATATAGACAAAATTCATTTCTCAAAAAATTTCGTCTCAAATTAGAGATTTATTTTTTTATTTGCAGAAGTAATTCAATGGATAAAGAAGGGGAATAAAAGGAACACACACATGCATCGAGAAAGAAAGGGAAAGAGAGGGAGAGAGTATTTATAGAGAGAGAAAATGGTGGTGCGATTTGATCAGATGTGAGTCGTATCTCTAGCCTCCGTCTCCTTTTGCAACTCTCACCGCTTTTACCTTTTGCATGTCAAGCGGAAAGTTAAACGAACCGCCATTGATTTCGCCTGTGGAAATCGAACTATCGATAGGTAACTGAATCCCAGCCTCGTCAAAACCTGACTTCATTTTAGTGGCATGACATCCTCACCTATTAACGAACACCTCTCAGCAGAGATTCGACTGATGAAAAACAGCTTGATTAATAGTTACGCTAAAACGGATAGAACTCCAGGATTTATGATTCGCGGACATAAACTTAACGCGAGATACTGCTTGGATAGCAAATTTAGAAAGAAAACTAAAAAAAAAAAAAAATCGGAGACAATATAATAAGGGAAAGCAAAAAGAAATTACTTTTAAATATAATAGAGAATGAAAGGTCGTCAAAAAAAGAGACAACCCATGGTTGAAGCTACAAATTGGGGATGTCAAAAATCATGCAGTGATTTAACTTTTTCAGTACTGTTTTAAGAGACGTCGGAAAATATGGCAGAAATCCAAAGGCGGATATATCTTCCAAACCGGAAGTACTAAGAGAGGAACATATCGTTAGAAACGAAGAAAAAGTACTGAACAGCTATAAAATATTTAATCTCACATATGAGAGATTGATTATTTTTTACGGGTTATCAACATTTTTGTAGGTTATTTAAATCCGAAAAAATGTTTTGGGAATAAGAATAATTATTACCGTTATCGTCTGAATATTGTATAAAAAATTTTCAGATAACGTTTTACTTTCTAACTTGCTGGTGGAGATGAGATGGATCCATATCCTTTTAAAGTGAATGTAATGAATCCGAGTGGAATTTGAACTCGGCTAGAGATTTCTCGTTCCATGTCGTTATTCATTACACCACACACACATCCATGTTCTCAGTACCTTGTATTCCTAAGCGGGCACGAATCTCGGTGCTGACCAGGTTCGACGTTTCTTAACTTCAGTGGTCGGCCGAGCGTCGGTTTTTCGATGAGACGTGTCCGTAATCCAATCTCCTATATTGCACTTAATGCTGGAGAGTCTCTTCAGAGTTGGAGAAGAAATTTTAAGACACAGAGATCTCCTATCGGCGGATGCTGTATATACTATGAACTGAACATGTAAACGATAAAACAAGTTTTAAAGAAAATAAAAAACAATAATGAAACAATTATGTCTAATTAGAAAAGCATAACTCAAATTTTCGTAACAAAATCAGGAAATTCGGCCTGGCAAAATTAATACACACTAGACATAATATAAGCCAGAAACACAGGGTTAAAAAGCAAGGAAGCAACTTAACGAGGTTGGGCGGATGAAGAGGTAAGGTGATAGCGAAACGTTAGAAATATTTCGAGCAACTAAAGAAAGGGAGGCTTTTGTCACTTATTTCAAAGCAATCAGGTCGATAAACGCCATTAAATGGCGAGAGGTTGTTAAGAGCTAAAAATTAAAAAAAAATGATTAAGGAAACTAGCGATTGATTTAAATTTTTGAAGACAGTAGTTGACAAGAAAGCAGGAAGCCGGAAGCGAGTTCCACAAGCGAGAAGTGCAAGAGAAGAAACTATTAACATAGAACCTACGGTTACAACCAGCAATTTTAACAGTGCAGTTATGAGATTTAAGCTGTTAATCTATCTGTGAGCTTAAATTCGCAGTCGAGGTAGGAAAGAGGGAAGCTCATAAGAACAAATACCGTGAAGATCTTTATAGAAAAGGCGTAGTGAAGATGCGTTACGGTGGTAAGAAAGAGGATTACATTGTAATTTGAAAGCCGAGATGCCAGGACAGGGTCGATGGTGTGGAGAGCCATGATTGCCCACGTCTTAAAGGGACATGGAACCTAGAAGAAGAGATAGATACGTTAACTTTTTAAGGAGTGGGGAGGGAGTAAAGATATATTCCTATTTGGGCATTAGGGTAGATAGCAAATATCCTTGGTAATGACGATGGTCCGTTTTTTTTCTTGTTAAAATCATTTTTCATACAAGTTAATACTCGCATGTTTTCAGAGATTTCATATATCTATCTATCTATCTATCTATCTATCTATCTATCTATCTATCTATGTTCATATCTGTATGTGTGTGTGTATATATATATATATATATATATGTGTGTGTATCTGCTCATAATATTTCATCTATCTATCTATCTATCTCTCTCTCTCTATCTATCTATGTTCATATCTGTATATATATATATATATATATATATATATATATATGTATCTGCTCATAATATTTCATCTATCTATCTATCTATCTATCTATCTATCTATCTATCTATCTATCTATGTCTGTTCATATCGATGTTCATATGTGTCTGTCTCTCTCTCTCTCAATATATATATATCTGCTCATAATATTTCATCTATGTTCATATCGATCTATGCTTATATCTATTTATGTTCCTATCTCTCTTTATATATATATATGTGTGTATATATATATATATATATATATATATATATATATATATATATATATATATATATATATATATATTATATAATATTTGATCTATCTATCTATCTATTAATATTTTCGAAAAAAAAATTTTTCAACAATATCTACTTCCTTGTCAATGCACTTATTTCCGTGGTGAATACTGATCACATAAATCAAATATTATACAACGAAAATGCCCGATAAAAAGTCAAACACAAACATTGTCCGACTACGGATGTAATGATACACACATACGTGTGTATGTATGTATGTATTTCTTATACTTCTGAATATGATTTACTTGTCAATGTACTTAATTCACTGATGAATATTAATTCCAAAATTCGGACATTATACACTGAAAATCCTATCTCCAAATTTTGCTCGTAACTACAGGTTGCATCTCGACGTAGTGAAATTATTAGCAAGCTTGTGTCGCTAAAATAACTGAGTAGTGAGTTCGATCCTCACTGGTTTCTCCATACTTTCAGCCTTGAGCCACTTCTAAGCTACGCTTAGAATATCAATATATGGTCACTTCGAAGTGGTGTAATGATTGCCAAATTTGTCTCGCTCGATCAGTTACAACTGAATAGTGAGTTCGTTTTTCACTAGGTGCCCATTACTTACGGCCTTGTGCCACATCAAAGCTACGCTTAGAAAATCATCATAATTTATAGAATTACTTTCCTTGTGTATTAAGTGTGGCTTTTTGCAGGGAAAGAATAAAATACAATTTATATAAAAAAATTATTTTTTTCGTCTTCAACGGTTCATGTCTTGACAGAGCGGACCCTCTCTACTATTCACTTATCGACTTATCCTCATTTCGTTCGGATTCCATTATTAAGGAGGAAATTTAACTTAGATTTTTTCTTTCCCAGAACTGTTACATTGTGCAATATATTCTTGATAGGAGGCATCTCCGATCATTACGATTTTAACCTCCTAAAATTCTTCATTTTTCTTTTTTCCGCCTTGACAGCAATTTCATTCAGCACTCCTCTGCTTTGAGTGCCTCTTGGGTCTTATTTAGAGCGAAAATAACATAAAAAAAGGAACAAAACATCATGATTAATAACGATAAAAAAAAAACTCACTATTAAACTAGTTCTTTTATTTCTCCTTCAAAAATATTCAGAGACAACAAACATAAATTTGAATAATATATTTTATCCAAAATATCTAAGTCTCACCTAGTCAGTCAGTTATGTGCCATGCGTGATACACGCTTAGGCGATCATGTATCGAAAGATACATGACTGACGAAACAGATATTTTTATCGCAGTAGGTTGCCATTTCTTTCTACGGTAGACCAGTTGCCATCCAAAGCTATAGAAACCGGTCTGTGCTGATATTTATCCATAGCTGGGGGGAGAAGAAGAGGATTCATACTTTTTCCCAAGGGTAATTAGCACGTAAGTGAATGTAATGGATTCGACTGGAAATCGAACTTGGCTCTCCGATTCCTCAATCCAAGCCGTTATCCATTACTTCACGAACTCTTGAAATAATGCGAAATATTTACAATACCTCTTGTTTATCAATAATTTGAACAAAGGATGATTTATACCTGAGATAATAATCTTTGTTCAATTTACATTCCTCATTTACTGTTTATAATAGCATATATCAACTCCACCTTCAATTCCAAAGCCGTTGTGCACTTGACCACCTCCACATGCCTCGATTGAGTTTCTGCGAAGGATATTCTAGTCCACTCAGTGACGTCGTCAGTTCCTTTTTGGAGAGATATTTATTCATACCTAGCTTGGCGTGGACAAAGTAGGCCTGGTGGATCCTATATTTTTCTCGTTCAAAAAACAGCCGTGAAGTCTCACATTGGTGGTCGTTGTTTACATCGGGTAAAACTTTTACCCTTGCCATTGACTTCACCCGGGATATACTGACAGTAGTTCAGTTACATGTTCAGATTTCGCATGTAGCCGGCCGAAACAAGATGTGGTTACCGTCTCTCAGTTGAACTCCCTACTGCTGAGGGCATCGGGTCCACTACATATGTGGTTGCTCGCACACTTCGGTGACTTGCT